TATATAAACGGTTGGAAAATGAATGCAGTTTTGAAAAATTTTATCAAAGATTACGTAACTATTTAATGTGTTACATGTGAACAAATCATATGTGATTATGTGAAACTATAATGCCGGAAGAGGGAGGCAGATTTGAGTTGTTTTTATAGTTAACTGAAACAACACCAAACCATATAAACCTATTTTATCAAATTTTTTAATCAAACAATACAGACTGCGATTTGATAAAGATGATCAATTTTTCCACTCTTCAAGTATTACTCCGCTAATTGCTTTGCAGTTATTTGAGTGTCTACATGTAAAATTCAAAAAATTCTCTTTCATCTATTCTCTTCACTGATTTTGAATATATTCCTGAAATTCCATTGGATTTATTTTACAAAGTTGCAAAATTCAAATATTATTCTGCTACATGTGCCACACAAGTGCTCTCCACTCTCATACGTACTGTGACGAACTTTGAGAGATTCGTTAATCGTAGCCAATGCGCTGAGCGCAGAGCGCAACGGCTGCGTGTAGAGAGGATGGCGTGTGTTGTATGTATATACGTAAAATTGATAGATAGCAAAGCGGTCAAGAATTACGTGCTAGGCATTACTCACTCGGATGGCACTGTATGGCTGCTGCGAGTATATACATCGTGTGTGTGTGTGTGTGTGTGATGCTCTTCTATAGGCTTGTTGCAGTTTATATGCTGCATAACGTATATTTTTGTCGTACGATTATATTTTGACGTTGTTAACGAATGAGCAACCGAATGAAATGAACGACGAATAAATGAAGAACTGAACGAAAAATCTCTTCTAACCGAGCAGTTCAACTCCACCTAAATAATAACGTTTGTGGTTAAAGCATTCTTCGTGTTCATTGTGTTCCATATATTATGCATTGTATATAGTATATGTGCAGTGTATATTATGTTACATTCAATAAATGAATATATNATATATGTATATGTATACAAAGTGATACATTTGTAAATATTATAAATCTTCCTTATTTGAAGAAACACCAATTGTGAGAGAATTGCAATGCGATAAAATAACGAAAAACTGAATGAGAATGCAGCAGTTTTGTTCAGATGAGCATTGTTTCAGAGGATTTTCAATGGGTTCTTTGATTCGTCGAGAGCTGATCAGTTTAGCAACTACTACATTAGAATTCAGATAGCAATTTCAGTTATCATATCACATTCGTTCAATGATCTGTCTGCATGAGCACACAGCGATATCATTTATATTTTGCATTTGTTCTGTTCGATTACATCCCAATGTCATTGTTACCGTTGTCATCATGCTATTATTGTCACTACTCATAATACTTCATTGCGTCATTAATACCGATTTCCGCTCATTCCACTACTTCCTTATGATGAGCATTTCATATTTATGAGCACAAGTGCACCACCACCAGCAACTTGTTCACTGAACTAAGTGATCACACCAGTGATGCAAGTTCTTCATGCACAGGTCAGCCAGCGGGTATCGTCACCATACGAATGCACGAAGCAGCATCCCGAATAAGCTTGCGTCGTGCTTGTTCCCAGTGCAGCTTGCAACTTTGCTTTGATCGCGTTCGTTTGTTTATTAATATTTGCAGTGCCCTAATCGTTGCACTTCCACTCGTCTTAAGTTTACCGCACTTCTCAACTTTGTTGCGAATAAACAAACATCGCAAGAGATAGATACTCAATCACATTATCTGCTCATCGCTCGTTCACTTCAGCTCATTAATATTTTCATTGTCATTATTGTGTTCAAGCATCTATCATTGAACAAATTATTGCGCCATCCAATGTTATAACATCCAGATCATTCCAATAATGTTCGATTAGGGAATTATTCCATCTCATAGGGCTCTGTAGATACCCCCGATGGATTGTGCAATTGTGCAATTCGATAAATTATTCATATACGAAACAGATTTGTTAATGTTTATTTTCTGTGAAAATACTCGAAATCAGAGAGCCACGGAAATGAGATTTCAGCGTACACAACATGCATCTTTTATCTTGATCATGGCATCCTTGAAGTCTGTGATAGTTTTTCCATTTCCAGTGCTCAGTGCTAACAGCTGGATTTCATTATTCCCCTCTCCAATCACANCTGATGACATTTCTCGAACTGCACCATGTTGAGTATAATTACTAATTGTTAAGCTAGTCGAAATGATTATTCATTTTGTAACCAGCAAGGGTGGCAAAAAAAAGAACAAGAAAAACGCGATAACCCGTTTAGTGACCAGCAATTTTCAAAAATCATTTCCTGTTACTGGCGAACTTGGGTGCTAAAGTATCGTCGGTTATCTTCAACCGTCATTCAAATTACCCTCCGATTATAACTACACCATATCTTACATGAGCGATTAAACTCAATCTGATTTTAGGCTCTATTCTTAGACAAATGTGTACTTTGCACGGCATACATCGGTCGATCTTTATCCACGAAAATTTCTCCAGTTAATTGCTCATTTAACACAATAACTCATCATTTCGTTATGAAACCAATTTTGAATGCTCAAGCAAAGCATTCATATGTTAAAGTCTTAAAGTGACCAGCAAAACACTTTCGAACAGTTACTTTTTTTGTAAACGCATTAACTAATGCACATTATTCTAGGTAAATGTATCCATAGTTCGGCGTGTCGAATGAATAATTTCAATGAATTGTTTACAAAGCGACAGCTTCGAGTTAGATTCATTCCGCAACGGAGATATCTTCTTTTAGAACGTATTTGCCTGATGACCGACTTCTAGTTATATTTTGTTCCGATTATTTGCGTTGTTGATTTGAATGTAATCCTTTGCTTCACTGTCTAGAGCCTCAATGAATTTGATCCAATTTTATGAATTCCAGTTCAGAGTTAATTAATTCATCTGTTTTGTATCTCTTTATTTGCAGCATTTATGTACTTTTATTATTGTCCAACGAAAGTGACTTCATTAACTGATAAGCGGCGTTGAAAGATTGCGAGAATATTTCCCAAATGTAATATTTTCAAAAACTTCATAAAGGACTTGTGAATTTGAAGTTTTTATGGTGTTGGAAACAAATGTTTTCTGTGGAAATATGTTCAAAATTCAATTGTTTCGATTCATTCATTTGGCAAATGGCAAATGCATGAGCCAAACATCACATTTTTGAATTCATGATTTGAAATTTTAATAAATTCCCAGAAGTGCTCATACAAACCAAGTTTCTTTAATCACCACTTCAGCAAAAACTCCGCACCTCATTCATGTAAATATCTCTACGGAATTGTTAATCTCAAAATCTGTCGTTCGGATATGAGTTCTTTTTCTTAGTACTGAATTGGTAATGATAGCAAATGTCAGATCAGTAAGAACTAAAATTCATGTGATAAACGATTGCTTTGAACTGTTCTTTCTGTTCTTCGCATAAGTGTTTGACTTTTTTTTGTTTTTTTTTNTTTTTTTTTATATGTCATGCTCACTTATGAGCGAATGAATGTTTATTACGTTGTTTCGTGCTAATACGCTTTGTGCAGTGACAGCAGAATAATCGTGTGAAAAAGACGATCATATTCTATAATAATCAAGTAGAGTAATAACTGGAAATGATTCATCGTAAGTTTTATGCAGTTACACGAATAGATTGGCATCTTGCAATTCCCGAACCATTAGCTTTGCATTAGCATTTTACTTTGCAATCGTTCCAAAAGTGTATCGGTGTTTAGTTTTCCGAGTATTTTCCTTTCTGGTCTCGTTGATTTGTTGTCAACAATCTTGTTTTAGTGATTAGATGTGAAGGTGACAATTGCAGACGTTTTGTTTGTAGTAGTGATCAGCTGTGAAGTTTTGTTAGTGTGAAGTTGATTTAGAGTGACGTCGATCGTTCGCAATAATCATTAATCACTAATCGTCAAGTTGCATGTGCGATCATTTTTATTCCTTCTCTGTCAGCACGTTTTTAGTGATATGTCATGCATTTTGCTATGAGATTGTTTTTATTTTCAACGACGGCATTCCCAACGTAATGGCAAAATTTTGCAATGTATTAACAAAGATCGACTCTTGATGTGTGTTACTCGTCTGAATAACCTTCTTGAAGTTTNTTGTGCTATCCTTTGAACAACAACTCCCGTATTACATCTAAATATCTTTCATTTTTCGTCTATTTTCTTCGGTCATTTTCATTTTAATTTTTTAATGGAAACTTTCATAGAAACGATTAAACACATGCAATTAAACGTTTTACTTTTTTAACTGTGAGTTTAAAATCGTAGGTCACATGTAAAGTCTCGCAGAATTGCAATGCTCGATTTCTGTCATGTGCATTGGAATTGCTCTAATGATGCCTTTTCACGAGCGTTTGCATCCTTGATTTGTATCACTTGATATCAGCTTGCTTATCATTTTCTTCGCATTGATCTTTCACCAGCGAGCCCCTCACTGGTGAATGATCAATGCGAATAAAGTGATTTTGATTCCCGTCCTCAGTCTCGCAGGCACTCACATAATATTGCTTTTTCGAGGAGTTGTTAATGAAGATTCCTTTTTTAAGCTAAACTTATTCATCAATATTCGTATGAAGAATCATATTTCAATGAAGCAATTACATAGCGCTTGTTGAATGAATATAGTGTTACTGTATTTCATTGATCACAATTGACATTTCAAATGGATGACTACAGAAATGGACATTTTTTTGGATATGGTCAACTTTCGATTGGTTTCATTTGTGATTGATTGCTATGCACTTGTTTGTATCTTTGAACTTGCTTATTGTTAGACTATTCGATGAATTCGACGTGCTTCGTTCATGCCTTTGTTTAACCGCGCTTGAAAAACTGAAAATGATCGTACTCAAATCGCTGCTGATAGTGAACAGCAAAAGTGGTGTGAACTGAAAAGTGATAATCGTGATGACAATTCAGCGCTTCATTCATCTGCGTAGTGTTCATCAAGTATCTGTGGCTTTCGTAGATCATAAAGGATTTCAATTTGAGCAACTCAACTCGAAGCATCACATCGAACAACCATGTCAGTCGATGAAAGTCGTGCCTCAACGCCGTCTGTTGATATAAGCGACTATTCCTCATCACCTGCACCATCTTCATCGCAAACACCCATCACCCATATCAATAGCAGCATCTCTAATGGGTGAATCTTATAATTGTATTCAGTTTACATGCTCCAACGCTATAATACATGCCATGTAGATTTGTTTTTGTTCTATGAAATTTTGAACAACGACATAACTCGTATTGGTAATCGGGTCTTTGCCTTGAACTTATCACATCTATAAAAAATCAGTCAGTAACTGTTTTAAAAAGTAATTCTGAAGTGCTAAACCAGCTGAAATTAAGCTCACAGTAACGTTGATTAAAGGTACCATAATGGAATCACTGATTTTTCGACCGTTGCCGAAGGTGCTCGCACGTCTACATCGAGTCGCTCAATAGCCTCTCATATGCATTTTAGTCAGTTCACAAACCAGTCACCGCCTTTCACTATGAGTTAATATTCTATTATTCATTTATTACATTCGACTCCTTAATGTATTGATAAAATAGAAATGTTATTGATTTGATTCAAATGAAGGCTGATCAAAAACTGTGCTTCTATGAGTATTACTCACAGAATTGGTTTATCGAAAAAAGACAAGAATAGTTGAACAGTTAAAACTCTGTTAATTTTCAGACGATAATCGTTTTATCAAACGCCCTCTGAATGCATACATGATTTGGACAAAACAAGAGCGTAAAAAGATCTTAGAATCGGATCCGAGTTTAAAAATGCACGAAGTTAGTCGAATGGTAAGTGCTGATTTTGATTCGATCAGTTTTTTAGTATACTGAAGAGTGTCTTTTCAATTTCTTGTTAGCACCTTTGTTTTTCAGTAATGTTTTATTGTATAAGTTTTCGATCTTTCATAAAATTCCAAACCTTTCAGTAGGATTGTTTCAGATGGGTGAGAAATGGAAAGTGATGACCGAAAAAGAGAAGAAACCTTTCTTCGAGCTATCAAAGCAGAGTAAACTGGAGCATAAAAGGGTTTGTTCGCTTAAAATTATTCACACGACGCTATTGATTTCGTTTGAAAAAAATTGAAATAAAAGGTGACGAAAGTTTTTTTCTTGCATAACTAAAGACGTCAACGAGGTAACTGTGTGGAAGTAAGGAAATGTGTTTTCTAGCAGATGTGATCGACTTGTCTCTGTGTAACTTTTAACATGAATGTTATTGTTAGCATTAGTGCCGGAACATTAATGCTGAATAGAATCCGATCGAAAATATATTCCTTGATCATCTGATGAACGTGCATGAAGAGGTTAATTGATAATGCGAAAGAGATCCGGAAGGATGCAGTGAAATTCATTGTTGTTGAGCCATTGAATTCAATTCAAATGCAATACTGCTGAGTATTGGCGCTGTGTTCTCTAATGGGCTACTAGTCGAGCTGGTTGCTCCGATAGTGCGCTGGCTTGCTGCTTTTTACATACTTTGGAAACATGCATCGATAACTTCCGCTNCATAAAGTGACATGAATTGCGTTATTTTCTTTCGTTAGCGTTTTAGTATGCCATCTTTTTTTCGGACTTCTGCTAACTCGTTACTTTTCATCTACGAGGGATTGCTTGTTTTCCCCAGTGTCAAGATATGCAAACCTTGTGCGATGTCCATATTTCAGTGAATCAGTTGATGTTCGTGGATCAGATTGATCTTGTCATTTGTTTTAATCTGCATTTGTTGACTGAATGTTGAGTCGGCAAACCATAGAGACACAGTTTCAAGTTGCTGAACCGGAAGGTCGATACGATACGTGTCAAAAAATGTTTCAAGCATTTGCCAAAGTTTTTGGTGTGCAGCTTTTTTGCCAAAGAGCATGTTTATATGATCTTATGGAACTCGAATCTGCTCTCTGATTTCACAAGACCACTTTTGATTATGAGTTCTAGTGGGGGAAGAAGATCAGACAATAATTGATATTACCTCTACACATGTCTCTCCATCCCATAATTTTGGTATGTATGATATAATCAGTTTTGGGACAAAATCAATATCGCTCTTAACAGGATAATCTTGGAACATACTCAGAAATGTATAATTCGTCCATAATTCCAATCTCACAAAACTTCAATTATGAATATACTGTATTGCAGAGCTATTACCCTTAGAACTTCGAG